TGTTATGTAGCAGCAATTCATCGGCTACGGCAAAAGTTTACCATTTAAGGGCCAACTATTCATTTGACAGTTTTTATTTTAGTATAGAAGAATTGTCAAATATTCAATGTTATTCCTCAGTTAAATTTTATCAGGCGTTGGAAAAATTAGCCCCGAGTGAAGAAGCAAGCGTTACTTCAGTGATTGGTTTAAATTAAAATAAAATGACTTAGGTAATACTACTTTATCTTATTTATGCTGCATCGTGCTTGATGCTGAACAAATGTTTCTTCCTTTCTTTCTAATATCTTAGAACCTAAAGCATAATATAGTTGGGTTACATTCACCACAGTTAACGATCAATGCAAAAACAATCTATTTATATTTAATTTTTAGCAATGGTCGCCCCACTGCAGGGTAAAGGCCTCCCTACCCTCCTTCTACTCGTCTCTTCCTATATTCCGCTTTCTGTGGCCAATCCTTTTCATAGGAGTCAAGTTCATCCCGCTATCTCCCTCTGGGCCTACCGCGACGTCTATTAACATTGAGTGGGCTCCACTCAGTAGTGAGTTTTGTCCACGGCTCGTCTGACATGCGGCAGACATGACCAGTCTAATCCCACTTTCAGCTTTCGGGTTTATGACCAACGCCAGCAATTTGAGTTGTTAATAATGTTCTTCGAAATATTATTTGAAAACACGAAGAAAGTACACTTGCATAATAGCATATTACTGATTGGTTCATACCACAATAGTTTAAAGGTACGGCAAATGTCAAAGGTATTGATAAACATAGCCTCTATGGCTTATGTCATAAGATTCTGATTGCGAAAGAAAACGTGGTTAATTGAAGCTGAAGTAATAAAGAATGGATCTTGGTACAAAGAGGAATTTGACCGTAAAATTTTATTAGTTCTATAGTGTTATATATAAAAGACTGAATAGAAGAAGTAACTATTGAGTATTAAGTACAGTATGATGCGGGATGGTTCGATCCCCAGTTCTGAAAATATGTAATCTTACTTATATACCTATAGTATATTGTTAAATAGCAAATAAAATACACAATTACAAATAACTATGCCAATTATATGCTAAAACTAAGCTGGTAACACGGTTTAAATAAACGTCTTTCTTTTTTTTATTATTGGATGTACAATTTAAGAATTATTAGTAGATATATAGCATTACCATATAAGGCCCAATTATCCTCCTTCCTCTCCAATCTCCCCAATCCCTGAAACCCCAACTATCGTCAAATACCTAAACCCTAAATGGCCGTTAACGCACTCGTTACAACTCGGATGTTCCGGGTGTCTATGGGCGGCGCCGATTGCGATCGGCGCAGGTATGCATACCATCAAGTGATCCGTCTACTCGTTTACAGGCTTATCCCATAAAAAAGGCAAAGTAGGTACACAGTTTTTTGTTGATCATGTACTTTCGTAACTCCCTAAAGGATCTTAAAGGTGACGCATTTCAACTTAACAGCCGAACATCTTAAAATATTGCATAAATATACCCAAACACGGATGTTTAACAAATAAAACTGTACACACAAACCGTCAATGTCAAAATTAGTCAGCCATTTTGAAGAAAAGTGAAAGGGGTTACACAGTTATTAAATGATTCATTTCTTTCTTTAGCAGAAATAGGTTTTTAATATTTTTGAAATAGGTATTGTGTGACTAACGTCTAGTAAAGACAGAGATAGTCAAATTGAAATGAAACGATTTTGGTAATGCACAACTCTATAATGTGTTGTTTTAATGCCGCGTCATTTTCTAGGAGGTAACTCGGCTATCGATTCCGAATCAATAAAAGAAATTGTAGGTAAATATTTTTCACTTTTCTGTAAATTACGGAAATCCGTAAGTGCGAACTACACGCCGCCGTCTTGTAACTAGCTTTATAACGCGGCTTAATACACACAAACTCAAACACGTAATTGATATTATTCCTAACTCCATAAAACTCCAATAAGAAACATTGCTGTCGCTTATTCTGAAATACTGTCGAACTTAAGCGTTTTATTATAGCCGTATTTTTAATTATTGGCCCGAAACCTTTATGACTTCTGTGACATGCCCCCAAGAAATGCCATGGTATCAAAACTACACCTTGTATAATATTACATCTTTCGCTGACAGGATAGTGACAGATGAAAGTGAGCTACTTAATTAACTACGTGCGCTAATGTGACATCTGTGATGTCAATGTCAAAACATGCGTTTAGTTTGCGAGACTTAGGTATTTTAAATTGTTTTGTTTTCCTATTTCATATATTTTTATAAATCATATATTTATTGCAGATGTACTATAAAAGTCTTGTATATATTCTTTATATTAGTATTGTATTGTATATAGCATATAGCTAAAGGCTAGAGCTGAAAATCAGTGCCTTGGCATTTAAGCTGAGCTCTGGCCTTTTTGCGCCGTCTTCACTATTTTTTTGTGTTATTTTATTTTTGACTATGCAAATAAACAATTTTTTTTTTTCATTAAATATAGTACTCACTTTTTTGCCAATTTCAATGATATAGGCAAATGCCAATCCCAAACTTTGTGTTACTAATGACAGTCATCAAAATAACACCAAACAAAATCTTGCCAACCCAAAATTTGATCGAGACTCTTTACGTGACAGTCTTATTTGACTAAAGAGGAAAAATAGTCTTGACTTACTGAGACCAGTACTTGGTAATTCCAAGCCAAATTTGTCCAACGACGGAAAATTTGCAATAACACGAGTGACACAGAATGTCATGCAACAGTTGCCAATAGTCACGGAAGCGAAGAGTAAAACGACACTCGCGGGAATCGAACCTGCCCTTCATGCTCGGATAATGTAACGTATAACGTTACTGTAACCCTGATCTCTTGTTACAAGCTGTAATCTATTTTATTATTTTGCCCTCTTTTTATAAATTGCTAGCTTTGGCCTATTGTAACCACAAAATTCTATCGAAATAGACCAAGCAGTTTATTGTTAACGAGTAATAAAACGAATCTGTTTGCCCGACACTGAAAGTGAAACTTAAAAACATAACATTACATCACGCCTCGAAGGGGTAGACTGAGGTGCACATTACGGCACTTAATGCCACTGTACAATGTATCACTCACTTTTCACTATTTATGTTATGAGTCCCATGTTATATAAGAGGTAAGCCTATTGCCATACCGGGCACAATTTCAGACTCCGTGTTACTACTGAGAATTTTTAAAAACCCAGTAGTACTTTACCCGACCCGGAAATCAAACCCAAGACCCCTTGCCCAGCAGTAGTAGCACTTGTGACCACTCGGACAACGAGGCAGTCATAAATAATATAGGTTTATATAAGTTATTCAAAATAACATACATTGGTATTCCATTCAAATTCCATTTTGTCAAATGAATGTCCTAAAATGCAGTCCAAATATCAAGGTTTTATTTTAAAATAGTTGTACCTGATTGAAATTTCGAAGCTCATCTCAGCTTCGTCAAAATGAAGGTCACATTTTGTATCGGTCGACTTCAGAAGGCAAACTTGTGAAATAAATGAACTTTTAATATTTAACTACATACTCGGACACGCTAAGTGATGTTTCGAAGGTTATTTGCAATGGACCTAGTATAGACCCTTGCGGAACTCCTTAAACATTGGCACTGGCTGGCGGTATTAAAAGTTAGTGACGTCATTTAATTTCAAATTATTATGTCTTATAGTAGATATTTGGATGTTTCTTATACATACATAATTTTAGTAACTAAATAGAGTAATAGTAATTGTAAAACAATTTAAAATGCTAACTTAAGGGACGGGATCACCTGATGGCAAGTAATCGGCGTCGCCTGGAACACCAAAGGCGTTATAAGTGCGTTAACGGGCTTTAAAGGATTAGGAATTTGAGGATTGTTGTGGTTTTAGGGATTGAGAAGATTGGGAAGGGAGGAGGGGGGGATAATTGGGCCTCCGGTAACCTCACTCATTCGACGAAACACAATGCAAGCGTTGTTTCACGTTTACAGTTTTTTTGAAGCCGTAGTATCACTCCGGTCGAGCCGACCCGTTCGTGCCGAAGCATGGCTCTCCCACATTTAAATATTATTTTGATCTTGTCATTTCGAAACTGAATCAAAGATATTTTGACTTATCTTGTATACATCAATGATTTGACTGATGTAACACGTTGAGTGAAAGAATGATTATTTATTTATTGACTTCTAAAATGTCGATTCTGATTTGTGATGTTTCTACCTTCCATAATCATTTATGAGTGATGACAATTATGATATTCTAGTTTAAATTTCGTTAACGTTTTGGACTTCATACTAAACTATTTTTAGTAACTATGTATATATTGTATTAACAATCGCTTTACAATTCATGAAATAAAAATTGCATTTCCAAATGTGGTCTTTCATAACATTCACTACCTTACAAACTTCAAAGCTCACTTACTATTGACAGATATTATTAGAAAGTAAGGAAGTCTTCTAAGAAAATATACAAGATTATAATAATGAAGACAGTACTCATATGTTTAATCTATGCAAATAAATTCGTGGAATAGAAATTCTAACGAGATATAAAAGAAAACCATTTATTAAAATTAACATCAAAAATGGATATCATGTTCCTGTAAATGGCATCCTTGGTCTGATCAGCTAGGTCATCGCCATCACTCATGTCTTGTACCTCGTAAGCGCTTCGTATGCGCAGGAGCACGGAAGTGCGCACGTGTTCCGAATTCTAACAAACAGCTGATGTAATGCTTGCATCCAATTCGGACTTATTTACATACATACAAATTACGCCGTTCTAATGTATGATTCTGTTATATTTTTATACTTAAAGATGTATTTTTCTATTCAAGTAATTTATCTTTATTTTTTTGTGACGGTTTGTGCATAATGTTCTTGTATTTAAATAATTGTTCTAAGTTGTATATGGCTTTTAGAGCCACCTCAGAAGGTGGTATTTAAAAACATTTTTAAAAACCATTTTTTTTTTCTAAATTCCAGTGACCGGCTACGAGTCTGACCGCGAAGAGTGGAAGAGCAGCCGATCCCAGTTCTCGACGACAGCGTTCGACAGCCTCGCTAGGCCGACCAAGATGGCGATGGCACTCACACTAAGAAAACCCCAAAGATTGGAACCAGTACCACAGTATTACAGGATGCCCAGCGAACAGAAGCCAAAACTAACACCAATGCCATTTAGACCGAACAATTTCCTGCAACGACCGCCTCGACTGCCGCGACCCAACCCTGATATGAAGAGGAACCTCCTAAGCACAGACCACAGAAAATTTACGTCACTGCAGAGTCTGGAGATACCTAAGAAATTAAGTGAACCGAAGAAGCAACCGATGGATATAAAGAAGAACAATTATTCGAATATCTCGCACAGAATCACCGGCTTGACGAATAAGTTAAGAGATTTAGGTAACCCTAGCAACACTCTTGGTAGATTTAAGGCACAGTCTCATGGTGATGTGGCGAATTTGAAACCTGTATTGAAGATGAATGGACAAGATGGAGCAAAGAGGTCTGTAGTCAGGACCTGCAGTGCGGAACCACCAAAGAAAGTAACGTTCAGCGCATTTGCTACTGTTCAAGTTGTGTAAGATGTATAGCTGATTTCGATATTAGTGGTACTGGTCTGATTTCACTAAAAATTCTGGTCAAAATGTATATGACTTGATAAAATAAAAGGAATTAGTGTTTGGTAGATACAGTAATAAAAATATCCATTTAAGTCAAAATATTAACTTCAGAGATAAGCACAATGTATAGATTGATAAGCTTGAAAGTGTGTAAGATGTAGCTAAAGTTTTAGCAAGAAAAAATTAGCTATAAATATATCATATTTATAAATCCAGTTTAAAATTCTTAGTGAGATCAGACTTAGTAAATCGATTGTATGTAACATATTAATCCAAGGACTGACTGATTATAAGAATATTATCGATCGTATCAATAGCTTGTAGTACCGTCGGTCATCGTAAGTTTACAGCGTGCTGGTCAGGCCGGGAACTCTGTGTAAATATAGTTTAAAACATGGCGTTTACAATAACGTGTAATTTTAAATTAAGCATCTTATATTCTAGATTTTCAAAGATTCCCTTTTCTCGATTCCTTTTTTGGTACTTATAACTTCTAGTTTCATGTTTAATACCCACACATTGCTCGTTTTTTTTGTTTCCTATCTATAATATATGTGTAGTGTCTTTAACTCTCTTTTCCTAATCCCTAATGTCATGCTTAAAATTCTTCCATGTGACTCTATCAATAACCTCGACACAGATTTGATTATGATCAGTAAATTGAGAAAGATATTTATTATGTCCTGACATATCATAAATTCACGATTACAACAAAATTGACGAAAGTTATAACATAAATTCGAAATATATATCAATTTTGTAACAACGGCTCGAGTAATACGCGTTTTGCAAAATAATCGTAGATTTCGTTATCAAACATAAAATGTTGGTCCAAACGTTGATTTAAATTAATCACATGCCATAATTTATGGAATATTGTAATATTTTCAACAATATTGACAATTTTTTAGTGACTATACAATTTGATGGGAGACTAGAGGCGCCTATTTCATCAGACAGGTATTAGACATTACAATCGCCTAATACAAAATTCATTCAACAAATCGTTACCCTCCTCAATCGTTGAGCATCTAATGACAGTTATTACGAACTACTCCTAACCCATCTTTTAACTAAAAAATACTTAGCGTGTACGTTACACTACCACCTAATTTAACCCCTTACTTGTACTGTTAGGTGTCACTTATAGGTTGATGAAAACCAAAATGATGTTCATTATCACCTATTTAGGGTAGGGGTTCCTTCAAAAGGAGTGGTGGAATCGGGCATAAGTCACTAACAATCTTATATCTGATACTAATAAAGCTGAAGAGTTTATTTGTTTGACCGCGCTTATCTCAGGAACTACTGGTCCAATTTGAACAAATACTTTTGTATTGGATAGCTCATTTATCGAGGAAGGCTTTAGGCTAAACATCACGCTATGATCAATAGCCGCTGAGCCAAAATCACGTGGAGATAGCTCGTTATTCATAATTCTCATCTTAGCTTAGCAACGACACTTTAAAATCAACTAAAATCGCGGGTTACTCATACTAAGAAAAGCTCTACTAGTTTCGAACTACAGTGGGGTTCTTCCTCATGAGCGACATCGCCGCGACCGCGCACGCTGCTCATCAATACATAGTATAAAACAAAGTCGCTTTCGCTGTATGTCCGTATGTATGCTTAGATCTTTAAAACTACGCAACGGATTTTGATGCGGTTTTTTTTAATAGATAGAGTGATTCTTAAGGTAGGTTTATATGTATAATACATGCATATTGCACCCGTGCGAAGCCGGGGCGGGTCGCTAGTATATTATATAGTACATTCACGCGAGTAACCGGCGATTTTAGTTTATTTGTTATGTCTCACGATAGTTGTTATAATAACACAGTACAATAAAAGTTTAAATTTTCAAAATCCCAGCACTGTACTTATATCTGAAAATGAAATGCCACCAATCTTTATGTGGGAGATTGATGTCGGTCAGTTTCAAGCCATTGTGTTATTCGACAAAAATATTTATTGTTATTTGTTTATTCTGTAGATACGAATATAATATTATAGACAGTAACGGCAATATAGGCTTCAATGTTTTGTTCGATAGTTTTTGTTCGAGTACGTCCTATATTTACTTTACTGATTTTTGCATTATAAGTTCATTTTCAAAAATTTCGTTTTATTAAACTTAAGGTTATTTTACTATATAAGACGTGTGTATATAATAATGTTTCAGTTTATTTCATTTATTGTAATTAATTTAATATTTTAAGATTTTTTAAGTATTTCTCTAAGTGTAACTTAGATAAATTTTAATTAATATTATTGTATCACTAAAATTGTAACTACTGTAAGTATTACTTTAAAAATAAAAGTCATAATTAATTTGGCATAATAATTATTCGTATAAAATAATATTTCAAATAAGTTTTTGTTTATAATAATTATTCTTATTAATGTGTGTATTAACGATAACGATGTTTGATTTATTTTGTTGTTACAATTTGTTTCATTAGGGTTTGTTTTGAAAAATGAATAAATGTTTGTTTAAAAATAGTTATAGATTTTTTATTGCATATTGACCTGATTGCCTCATTGGCCAATTGGTCGAAAGTACGACTCGGCAAGGGGTCTCGGGTTCGATTCCCGGGTCGAGCAAAGTATTAATGGGTTTGTAAAAACCTCAGTAGTAGCACGGAGTCTGGAAATATGCCCGTTATATGGCAATAGGCACACCCCCTATTACATTGGAGTCATAACATAAATAGTGAAAAGTGGGTGTTATATTGTACAATGGCATTAAGTGATGTAATGTGCACCTCTGCCTACCCCATCGGAGATAAAAGGCGTGATGTTATGTTATGTTAAAAAAATAGACTATCTAAATACAAGAATACGTCTACTTAATAAGTTTACATTGAATATTATAGATAAGTATTTCCTTAATTAATTTCGAAATTCCCGATGAGAGACATTCAGAGATTTGTAAAAATCTGGCTTTATCTTCAAGGCACCTGGTTCGATTCCTACTTTTTAATTTGTTTTTATTTCAGTTTATAAAGTTGAATTCATATTTATGCAAAAAAATGTTATCATTTTAAAGAATTATACTCATATGTAACAGTATCTATATCAAATCTAGTTCAAGGTGCTGTTAAATAGGAATTTTAAAATTTAAAAAAATGTTCAGTATTCAGCATTATCCTAAGAAACAACTTATTTTACTTTTGCAAACAAAAGTGAAGCACCTACCACCTTGACCCTGAAAATGAAGCGATGACAGCATGAGACAGGTATGGGAACAAACACCATTACATCCAATAACATATAGTTTTTTTTATGGCATAAGCCAGTAAACGAGCAGACGGATCACCTGATGGTAAGCAATCGGCGTCGACCATGGACACCTGGAACACCAGAGGCGTTACAAGTGCGTTACCGGCCTTTTGGGGAATTAGGAGTTTGAGGATCGTTGGGGATTCAGGAGTTGGGGATATTGGGGAAGGGGAGGGTAATTGGGCCTCCGGTAACCTTAGTCACACGACGAAACACAACGCAAGCGTTGCTTCACGTCGGTTTTCAAATGCGCATTAATGCAAAAAATATTATCCTTTTAAAGAATTACACTCGTATCTAATAGTATCTATATTAAGTTCAAAGTGCTGTTAAATAGGAATTTTAAAATTGAAATAAATATTCAGTATTCAACCATTTACTAAGGAATAATTATTTTGCAAACAAAAGTGAAGCACCTACTCCCTTTACCCCGAAGGTGAAGCGATGACAGCATGAGACAAATATGGGAACAAACACCATTACATCCAATAACATTAAGTACCGTCTCACCCAGGCGGGAGCAGTCATTCGATGATTTTCCCCCCTTAAAAAAAAGACAAACACTTATTCTCTTACTTAGTCCTCTAACTTACTTATAAATAGTGCTCATGAGGAAGAACCCCTCTGTGGTTCGAAACTAGTAGAGCTTTTGTCAGTATATTCACGTGAGTAACCCGCGATTTTACTTAATTTAGCATGTCTCACGGTAGTTATTATAAAAACAACAGTTTTATTGCCAAAATAATTATCTCTACACACAAACAATGATATAATTATGTTATAACACATAATTATTTATGTCACAAAGTTATCGTTTCCGAGTACAATGTCAGGGTTATCACAAATTATCAACTGCCATAATCTTCGACGAGAAAAATGGTCATTTTTATTAGCACTCCGTACAAACCTGAGCTTTTTGTCCTTTTCTTTTATTCTTATTATGAGAGAGAGAGAACATATCGGTTCACGTGAGCCCCGATAGTGGTAAATCGTGTTTGTGTTTTGTGAAATTCATGGAGTTTCATACGTTTAGTGTTGTAGAAGTCATCGTGGAAAAAGGTAGGTTTTTGTGCAATTTTTCTCAAATATATGTTAAGTGGGTTTTATTTGTTTTGTGTCTAGACTAGGAAATCAAATTAGAACATTTAGTTTTATATCGCAATCAGAAACAGTGCTGCACTCATTTCCGTTTTATAATTTAATGTAATAAAACATTTATACCTAGATTTTTAAATGTATGTATTTTATTAAAAACGTACAAAGAAATCATTACACACAAATCATGTGCCAAGCCAAGTGTTTTAGAGTAAAATGTACCTAGGTATAAAAATGCAGCTACTAAAAATCTAAGATATAATATTAATGGGTGTATAATAATTTTGTGAAAACCCTTATCAATAAATAGTATAAAACAAAGTCGCTTTCGCTGTATGTCCGTATGTATGCTTAGATCTTTAAAACTACGCAACGGATTTTGATGCGGTTTTTTTAATAGATAGAGTGATTCTTAAGGAAGGTTTGTATGTATATACATATTGCACCCGTGCGAAGCCGGGGCGGGTAGCTAGTCTATATATATAAAAATAAAACCCGTTTCCCGTTGTCACGCCATAACTTGAGAACGGCTAGACCGATTTGGCTGATCTTTTTTTGTTGTGTTTGTTATTGTCAGGTGAAAGTTCTTATGACAGAAAAAAAGGCCTGAAAATGCTACGGAAACGGGAGAAAGCGGGATTGCACGTACGAACTCGCGGGCAGAAGCTAGTACTCTATGTATATGGTACAATGAGGTCGACATATCCATGTCGATGAAAACTAAACTACTACTAGCCTTACTAAATAACGATTAAAAAAAGGAAAGCTATTACGTGCATGAAGCATGATAAGACATTTGTTTCGGGGTGTTAAATTATGAAATGCGTTATTGAATTTTAATGGAAGACCTATAAAACAAAAGTTCAATTAACGATATCAATAAGGTACTATACCTTCATACTGAGTTTAAATATTGGGGTAAATAATATTCGTTGTTTAAACTGAATTCTGTTATAAAGGGGATACATAACATAACATAAAATGAACGCCTTTTATTCCCGAAGGGGTAGCAAGAGGTGCACATTATGCCACTGTACAATGTAACACCCACTTTTCACTATTTATGTTATGAGTCCCATGTAATAGGGGGTGAGTCTATTGTCATATACCGGGCACAATTTCAGACCGTGCTACTACTAAGATTTCTTTTAACAATCCTGTTATACTTTATTGTTAACAAAGGGGATATTATTGAATAATTAAAAATATAAGGTTTAAGTATTTAATAATGTAGTTTATTCCTTGCTACAGGTCACCATGTCTCTAGTATCGCAAGCGTTCGAGTCGAGCAAGATTGTGCCCGATGTCATCCCGACACCACCCTCTGGTAACATCGAGGTAACTACGTACTTTATTATATTACATAACATTACGCCTTTCATTCCTTCAACGGTTAGGCTGGGCACAGTATCTTCATCACCATTCAACATCAAATGTGGGAGAGCCAGGCTTCGGAATACAACGGCCTCACAGAACACTGATGTCAGACAATGCATACGTTGTTTTTCGTCGTGAGGTTATCGAAGGCCCAATTACCCCATCTAAAATTTCCTCAATCCCCGAATCCCCAACAATCTTGGAATTCCTAACCCCAAAAGGCCAGCAACGTATTTGTAACACCTCTGGTGTTTCGGGTGTCCGTGGTCGACGCTGATGGCTCACCATCAGGTGATCCGTCAGCTCGTTTACCGTCTTGGGTTTATTTTCTGGGTTGGGCAAAGCATTATTGGATGTTTTTCGGTTTATTAATATCACAGAGTCTAGAATTGTGCCCGGTATATTGCAAAAGACTCAGCCCTTATTATTGGGCGATATATTGTAGACATATAAACGCTTTTGTTTGTCTATAGACACTAGAAGATTAGAAGAACTTCGGGAATTAAAACTACATTATATCAAGTTTATCTAAAACTTGTTTCGTGATATTTTTACCAGAAAGTTGATTACATTTTACCATTATCCCGGGTAAAAATAAGATAAGACTGAATGCTATAATAACATCTTATGTAATATCGTCAGTCGTCATATCGGTATGATTATGAAAAAAACATTAATTAAGACAAGTAGGTAGGTATAATCTTTGTAAAATTAATGCTCCATATCACAATCCATCATTATAATAATATATTTTATCATTTTCATGAAAAAACCGGTATGTGTTTGTTTATGCAACATGTGAATAGTAAGTCTCGATAAATAAATATTATTATTTAATTGTTGTTTTTTCTATCTTTATCTGTAATGTAATAATTCGTAATTACATAATTATGATAGATCACTTCATTCAAGCGATTAGTTGCCAATTTCTTATATTCAAGCTTGTTATTCAGCAACAGTAAACCAGACGTAGCTACCTATCTACATTAAAAAAGCCGCGTTAGAATTTTGTCCTGTTTCATTGCTGTGCGTTTACAAACTTAAATTTTTACATACATATCATTTTATACATCATACCTTCCAGACCTTTTTTTTTTGAGGGGAGGTCATCCAATGACATCTCTCGCCCGAGTGAGGCGGGAGGGAGTGTCAGACTCTTACTGACTAAAAACTACCCCGTTCCTACTTCTGCACTTCGAGCCAGGCCAGAGCGGACGGCGCGTCGCGTTCCGCGAGCGCCTCAAGGAGCCATCAGACCACCACGGATGGAGCCCAACAGGGCTAATGCCGATACGAAGCCGCGGAAGACCTAACAGGTTACCGGGGCTCCGGCTCGAAGCGCAGGAGTAGGAAGGGGGTGGTTTTTAGTCAGTAAGAATCTGACACTTCCTCCCGCCTCACCAGGGCGGGAGAAGTCATTAGATGATTTTCCCCTGAAAAAAAAAAGTTAATATAGCTATAATTACTACCAGCTATATACTATTAAATAATTAATATTAGAAATGTGAAAGTTTGTGTGTGTGTTTATTACTCTTTCACGCAAAAACGGCTGAACGGATCAGGATGAAATTTGAAACAAGTCTGGAATGAAACACAGGCTATTTGTTACACACAGGCTACACGGGAACGCAGGCAAAGCCGGTGGCAGAAGCTAATATATATTTATGTAAGGCTTATGGTTTTTAGTCATAACCTACTAATTGTTGTTATTTATATATTTAGCTGAAGTACCCGAGCGGCGCAGTGGCCTCCCAGGGTAACGAGCTGACTCCGACGCAGGTGAAGGACCAGCCCAGCGTCTCCTATGAAGCCGACCCTAGCGCCTTCTACACTCTCGTCTTTACCGGTAAGTCTGTTGTCCCTTATTTAATTTTCTTCTTGCGTCTAAGGAACTGGATATGCTAAGGCTATTCTGAAACTTTCAATTCGAAAGATCGAAATGACATTTACAGAATATAGCCTCGCTGCGCTGTCTAACCTTTACGATTTGGGTTTTCCTAATGGTGTTAAGAAGTTATGTTTTGGTTTTATATGTTAGTCCCCTTGTTTTTCATTTCTAAATACAAAACTAACTACCAACTATCTTGAAATGCTAGCAGCTATAAAAAATCACAAATAAATTTTATTAAGTGTGGGAGACAGTCACAAACAGTCGGCTCGACCGGAGTGATACCACGGCCTCACAGAAAACCGATGTGAAGCAACGCTTGCGTTATGTTTCGTCGTGTGATTGAGGTTGTAGGGACACACTGTTGACGCTGTACTTTTGTGTTCCCAAGCGCGTACGTGCGCTGGCGTCGCACGTAGTCGTCTCCCCGCCACCGAACTAGTAGGTCGTCATTTTTTAGTATATATCATGTAACTAGTACCAGAATTATATATCTCCAAATAAAATGAAGCGCATCATTTATCCACCTCGACATCTATATAGAACCCCCACATTGGTGACCCCGACGTCGAAAATCGAACCTGCTAGTGAAGCAATCCGTACCTCACGCAGTGGCCGCGTGATAAAACCACCAGTAAGATTTCTGTAATTAGGTACTTAGTAGCGTACAAGCAAATGTAATGCTATGCTATACGATAAAACTACAGCGAACAATACATTTTAGTAGCAAGATTTCGTTTCGCTTTAACTGTGATTTTACCGTACAGCATTAGTAATAAGTAGGTTAAAACGTAAACATAAATTTCTTTTATATACACTTTACACTATATTATTTACACAGTTATACAGTTTTCTAAGCATAACTATATGTTAAATTTTACATTATCTCTAAAATGGGAAAGTCGTATAGTAAGCAGGAAGAAATAATTATCGCTCAGAATGGTGCAAATAGCGCGAGCACCAGCTCTATAGAACAAAAACTGGAACATTATTCAATAATTTTCGGTATTGTAACTGCAATTGTGATTATTATTGGCATATGGTTGCTCATAACAAAATGTCTAAGAGGAGTAAAAAAATGGACTAGGAGAGAAATGATATCCGCCATTTCCTTACAACAGATTGACAACGCACGCCAACAACAACCAACAAATCAATATGTGTGATTCCAATGTACGTATTCTTAGATTCATTTAATTTAGTTGTAAATGTGTTGTAAATGTAAACAATCTGTAATTTAATGTGCTATTTGTTCTCAACTCTTTCTAGGTAACACATAAACGTTCTCATCACTATCGCAGTTGTTCATCGTAGTCAGTGGAAGTTGATATGCGTTGTTATCAATAAATGTAATCGTGTTAAGTTACCACATCCTTTGTAATGTAAACGTAATTCTGCATAAGCATAACGATAATGTAACGATTGTACCTAAGGTTTGTTTCATGTCATTTAAATAAATAAATATATTTTTTTTAAAAAAGGGGAGGAATGTTGTAGGGGTTATAGTGTATAACCACACAAACACATATGTAAGCGTTAGTAGTAAGTGTAACCTGTAAACTGATATTTATGTATGCGCAGTAGCGGGACGTGTGTCACTCGTTGCTCGATCCTTATGGTGAATACACTACATGAGTTTAATAGTACAAGTGCTTTATTTCATCATCAGTCCTTACACAACACAGTGAATACCTAAAAGGTTATCGGATTCCTAATTACCCTCCCCTCCCCCAATCTCCCCAGTCCCTGTATCCCCAACGATCCTCAAACTGCTAATCCCCAAAAGGCCGGTAACGCACTTGTAACGCCTCTGGGGTTCCAGGTGTCCATGGGCGACGCCGATTGCTTACCATCAGGTGATCCGTATGCTCGTTTACCGGCTTATACCATAAAAAAAATATTATTGTTAGTTCGTATTAGTTTATTGATGAACAAAAGTGCTCGGTTAACAGTATGTCGCTTAGCTGGAGCCAAGAGATGGATCTCTCAGTACAATTACCGTATGTTACCTGGAAAGTACCAGCATCTACACAATTTATTGAATTTTTTTCAGACCCCGACAACTACGACGGTCCGGAACCAGTGTACCGCGAGTGGCACCATTGGCTGGTTGGCAACATTCCCGGTAATGACGTCAGCAAAGGAGAGGTACTGTCAGGCTACATCGGCTCCGGCCCACCAGAGGGCACTGGCATCCACAGATACGTCTACATCCTCTACAAACAGCCGGGCAAACTGGACTTCGATGAAAAGAGGCTGACTAACAAGTGAGTGACGTCATCAATTTGTTACTGGCAACTGATAACGTATGAAACAGATGGTATTTTCGCGTTTTTAATATTACATTGCATTTCTAAGGTGATAATAATTATGACTGCATCGTTGGCCGAGTGGTCGTAAATGCGACTGCTGGGCAAGGGGTGTCGGGTTCGATTCCCGGGTCGGGCAAAGTATTACTGGGTTTTTAAAAAAAATCTCAGTAGTAGCACGGGGTCTGGAATTGTGCCCGGTATATGACCTATTGTCATCCCCCCTATTATATGGGACTCATAACATAAATAGTGAAAAGTGGGTGTTATCTACATTGTACAGTGGCATAATGTGCACCTCTGTCCCTTCTTACCCCTTCGGGGATAAAAGGCGTGATGTTATGTTATGTAATATTTTTTTTTAATTTTCGGTACAGTAGTGATGCAAATGTAAGTATGCGTGCGCCTGAGAATGTTATAGCAGCAATGTACAAAAATGGTAATTCACTGTCATCATTGTTCACTTCTGACAATATGTTTCACCAATCCATACCGTACATCGAACATAAATTTTCTTGTTGACAAAGGGAAACCTTCTAAAAGAGCTCTAGCTTTTGGGGGAAAATACTAGGGAGAGATGAGAGATTTTGACCACCCCGGGCGTTACCATTACCACCTGAAGTACAATAAGTACTTACAATTCCAAACTCTATGTTATCACTAAAATATTTATAGATAATTTATGTTACCACCAGGTCTATCGACGGCCGTGCTGCCTTCTCCACGAAGAAGTTTGCAGAGAAGTACAACCTCGGAGCGCCTGTTGCTGGCAACTTCTACCGCGCACAGTTCGACGACTTCGTCCCATTGTTGTACAAGAGCCTAGGCGTTTAAACTGATGTAAAATGTAATATGTAAATATTTTATGGTTATCTATTAAGTATATTTGTGTGTGTTGTGTTTTATGTGTGGTGTTTTATTTTAACTTAACTTACCTATTTAATTTTGCTGCCAGCGAAGGTAAAGGTTCAAATATCTTCATACACTCGCCTCTTTGATAGTCTTATTACGTTTCGTTTATTAAACTTTGGAAAACTATCATACTGACAATGAGGTAAATAAAAATCGACAATTTATTAAAGAATGTTTTATTTAAATTATTTATTTATGTATGGGTGAATCGGTGCTAATGACTATTATCAAAGTTTCCTACTAGTTACCATTCAGTGACATAGTGGTGAAGATATGTACAGCTTGTTAAAAGAGAGTTTGACGGTGACAACTGGAACTAATATTGACTTGAACTGAATCCACTGCGGACTATAATAATATAAGCCTTTACTCAGACAAAGTATTAACATTAAAATAGTTTACAATTGTGACTCTGGTGAGTCGTTGACACCGACAACTTCTTCTGTTTGCCCAGCTTTGGCAAAGACCTCCTCCATCTCTTTCCACTCTGCTCGGTTTAGCGCTGTTCTAGTCCATGTTTTTCCTGCTATTGTTCTTATATCATCTTCCCATCTTCTGAACTGTCTGCCTCGTTTTCTTTTTTCTATTTCTAGGGTACCAAAACACAATGCTTTTGTTCCATTTTTCGGAGCCTCTTGTTGTATGACCTGTCCACTATATCCTATGAATAAATAATCATCGGAACATCCTTCCGTTTTTAAACTGGATAAAAATTACAAATATCAAAACCGATGAAGTCGTTGTGTACCAGGTTGCCATAACTACGATACTAGCGACCTCAATCAATTCCACTCTTTTTTACCAAACTGTACGTGAAAGTATTAATTTTGTGTAAGTAATAATGAGGTAATGAAATAATACTTTAAGTAAGGGCTGATTTTCCAACGCCAGACAAATTTTAATTCAGGAAAAAATTTTGAATGTTTGACAATTTTTCGATACTAAAAACTGTCAAATTCAATTTTGTTCTACAGGTAAAAATGATGTTTGAAAAATCAGCCCTCGGCAAATAACGAAAACAAAATGAAATAATTTATACTGCGTAACTATATACCTACAATCCTATATGTTTTTATTTTAATTTGTACCTACAAGTTAATTATTAATCAGTAAACTCACCATTTTAAGAATGACCAAAATTGTACAATCAATTTAGCGCGTCTATACAGCACATTACTGATTACAAAACAATGACATTACCCAACTTAATTCATAGCTTTAAAAATGAACATTATGCAACTTAAGAACAAGATTAAATTCAGGTTGACCATTGTTTGAGTAGCAGCGGACGCTGGTTCACCATCTCTAATAACTTCACCCTTCAATTGTCTATTGAGGATAGGCACATAATCATCATATTCTGCTTGGAAGAAGTCACCAGCTATAGGATGCTCTAAGTTAAACTTCTTGGCGAAATCGGCGGCCGAGAATGACAATCGGTTTGCAGATGTCCTGTAATGAATACATGATTATTTATTCAAGACTATTATCATTCATCATGTGTTATTGGCGCAAATATAGCTATTAAGTTTTTGGTCCAATCACAGCAGCTGTCAAATATTGAACGTCCAATGCTGTGTCACTAGCTAATTCCCTATTGGACGAAATACGACAGGTCTACACTAATCTGGTGTACGAAAATATAGTAGCCGGTTGCTTAATTATTCGAATACGTCTCACGATAGCTAGGAACAATATACATATACAGTATGTTAGGTTAAACGAGGGATATATTCAAACCCATAATAGTGTATACTCACATGAACCTAACAAACATATAAACGAAACGAAAACACTAATAAATAACAGACAGCACCATAAAAACGCTTCCGCTTACGCTTACGGGTTTCGGCTTAGCGGGCTTAAGCGCGCTCTATTCTTTTTGGCAAGATAGGCGCATGATTTGCAACGCGAGTTACTTTATGTAAGTACTGTTTCTGTTTACAAGTTCACTTGTTGCGCGCTCAGTGTTCATGATGATGTATTTTATTAGACAATTACCTCAAAAATTTTGGTTATAGGTTTTTTACATATTCGGGACGAGAATCGAATACTGAATACCCTCCCTCAATAAGTCCCTCGTTTAACCTAACACACTGTATAATGATGTTGAAAATCTGACCAGACCAAAATGATGGTCTTGGTATTTTACACAATTTACAATATTATATGTGTACTGGTTTACTAACCTGTTCGAAGATACAGGAGCTCCTTTGAACTCCATCAATCCTGGTTGTTCGTATACTAGGAACACGTATCTATGCAGCCCTGTGCCATTTGGGGGACCAGCCCCCACATACTCCACGAGGGTCTCTCCTCTACTGGGGATGTAGATACCAGGGATGTTCACAACCAGCCAGTGCAGCCAGGAGCGGTATGTTGGGGCTTCTCGGGTTGGTGCGTCAGGATCTAGGGAAATATATAAAGCTTCATAATGTTTCAATACTTAAGTACTGCGGAATTAAGGACTGTTAAGAGGGAGTTTACCATAATCACAAAGCTAGTGCGATTTGAGGATCGCAGTTCATGACATGACATGAGATGACTTCACAGTTGGCACGGTGGCTGGGCAACTCTTTGTGTGACCCACAAATTGTTATTTCGGATCTGGGTGTCATGTGTATGTGATATTGTATGTTTACCCACGATACAGGAGAAAACCCTGAGGCCAAGAGAACCTAACGGGTAACCGGGGCTCCGGCTCGACGTGCAGGAGAAGGAACGGGGTGGTTTATAGTCAGTAAGAGTCTGACATTCCCTCCCGCCTCACCCAGGCGGGAGCAGTCATTCGATGATTTTCTCCCTTAAAAAAAAAAACTGTGGGCCAACGTTTAAAAAAAAACATTAAAAGATAAAAGAAAGTTCGTTCATTAAAATAAAGACTACACAGTGCCGCAGGGGCTGCCCAACGTGACGTGAGTTCGATTCCCGCACAGAACGATTCTTTATACACAGGTGATCTACAAATTGTTGTTCCGAGTCTGAGTGCGATGTGCATGTCAAATTGTTTATTTTAAATGAATGTGGGCCGCAACAAAAAGATATCTTCTTAATCTTACCGATCATCATGAGAGTATAATATTTGGTCGTAGTGTAACTCCACAGTACCCATATTGGCGGGTTCCTAACTTCGCTTGGAGTCAGAATGTTGCCTTCTGCAGTCCTTACAAAGTTTTTGTTCACCTCAAACAGCACCTGAATGAAATATTTTTTCGTTAAACGATTTCAATGATGATGGGAATCATCGACTCTTGACCAAATAGCCAGAAGACATAAC